CAAATCAGTCTCTGCCCTAGGAATGGGTAGGGGGCTGCCTCGGCTCCTGACTTTCCAGGGGCCCATTTTCTCCCCACACGCTAAGTTAGGGGAGGAAGGGCAGTGTCCTTGCCCACCTTTAAGGACACTTCATTCCAACAGCCCCTGGGGCAGGCTCTATAGTGCATCAGTGAAGAACGAAAGTTGCTCTGATGGGCGGGGCCTCAGTGACAATATCTGAGAAGAGGCTCCCAGCCCGAGCTGTTATTTTTCACTGTTGCCTTTTTTGTGTGGGCTGTGAGTGAGTTTTTGTTCCCAATACCCAAATTTCTTTTGTTCTACAAATTGCCTCAATAGCGTCTCTTCGCTGCTTGCAAATCGGCTCAGCTGACAACAATTAGCATCACAATAGCCTTTTGGCCCAGCAGCACCTCTTTGTTTCTCGGCCGCATTGCAATGGGGCAGGGGGAGAATGCTTTCCGAGAGCGGCCATAAATCTACCAACTACAAATTGAGCCCCTGGAAGGGGGGAAAATACAAGATTCATGTTTTCAGGCAACATTTTATAACCAGTCTAAGCCCCAGACAAAACCCATGGGGATTTAGAGAAACTCTACACTGTAATTAGCAACTCGATTTTTTACAGTCGCTTGACTAAGCTAGGGTGCTTTCAATTACAAGAAATAGAAAACATGGCAGCTAACTGGAGTCTGGATCCTGCAAAATCCCCCGGGGCTCCGTCCCCGTGAGCGTGTTTCAGATTTTATTATTTTGCACCGAGTTAATTTAAGAGACAAACTTTAAACCCGCCCACACTGATCCTTAGAGCTGCTTCCCTCCCTTCAGCGTTATTCAGTGCAGTGTCACTGCATTGGTCTGAGTGATGGGGATTCTTTGGGGCAAGGAACGAACTTTACACATGTTTTGTAAAGCGTTCTTTAAATACCTAGAGTGCTCTATCACTATAAGCATTAACTATGCTTTGCTACATTCATTGGCACACAACTCCTGAAAGTTACTTACATTTGTAGCATGGGATAGCAGCAATGAAAAGATGTTTTATTTCGTTTTTAACTGCTCAGCTAAACCAGTGATAACAACACCGGGGAAAAGAGACCATGTAATTCTGTAGAGCAGAAAGATGCTTAGAACAGGAGGCTGCTGCGTATAAATGCTGATGAGGTGCAGCTGCATTTGAAACTGCAATAATGAGGCCAAATTCTGCTCGCCTTACGCAAAGCTCCCACTGAAGTCAATGGTAGAGAGAGTAAAGGAAGCAGGGTGGGTCATGATTTCCAATCACTCCGCATCCAACAGGATAAAAGCCAGCGAGAAGTCCAACTGTGCTGCAGAAGGAAGAGAAGCTGCATTGTGGCTTTGGTTTTATCTAGGGAAATGTTACACAATGCACATTCCGACTGCCCACAAGGCCACAACAGTGTTTATACAATTCTCTACTTCTTATTCCATAATTTGTGGAACCTCTGTCCCAAGATGTGCATTGTGAGGAAACTGTGACCTATTGAATACTCACCACGTTCCACCCCAGAGTCAGCTGCATCTTAGTTAAGGATGAAGCGATTCCTAGGCCAAATCCTGCTACCCTTATTCACGAAATCATCCCCATTGAAGTTAATGGGACTTCTAGTAAGGCAAGAAGCTTTGGCCCATAATGTATAAGTAACCTCAATCTCTTTTGGGGGATGAAATATGAAATATTCTTTTTTACAAATGCCTGAGTTGTGTTCAGACGAAGACTAGTTTAAGAATCTTCGTGCGTGAAAAGTGAGGGAAGTTCAACAACATCAAAAACATATTTAAATCATTTCATATTTAACTAAAGACCAGGAAATAATGATTTTATAGGGAAAGTACTCTAGAGGCAATTTTGCTAACAAAAAGAATCTACTCCCTCATTCATGAAAATACCCCTCAAGTGTTGAAGCAGCTACACCAGAAAACCTGACTTTAAAAAAAAAAAAGTAGCAAAATATATTGCTGTCCTATAACCCTCCTTCCTGCTGTGAATGTCTCATTCAGCGGTACTATAACACTTTCAGCCTGAAGTTTCCAGGTGCACACTTTTCTCGTCCTGTAAACAACTGAATATTGCAATAAACCACCAATAACTCATTAATCTCGTGTTATTAGATTAAATCCCCAGGCATTAAACAACACCTTCCTTCATTCGTCTGTTTGCTGTTCCCCCCATCCGGGTTTTGATTAGTGCCATATATCTTCTCTCTGAATTCAAGTAGAAAACTTCAGCGGAAGTGAAATGGATTACTTGTGAAAAATGATAAGAAGAAAGAGATTAGACTGAGTTTTATATATAAATGGCGTATATGGTGGTGGCGTTAGTAAGTGCGAGAGTCTTATGGAGCTATTGTATTATCAAGATTTTCTTCTCTCATTTTTTTAGCAATTGTACTTGGTACTTTCAAAACTGTTCGCCGCACTGTGATGATTTACCCTGCAGAGAGGAATGTGCATACCAGCTGCATAACTCTTCCAGAATGTTTTCATAAGTGTTAACACAATAATGCATATGAAGGTGTTATTAAGCCTACAACAGCCAAGCAGCTAGGATTGTTACGTTTAGTCTGAGTTAAGTGAAACTTTGATTGTATGTGTTCTTAGTGGGCTAGGAGATCCGCTGAGATATGTCGGTAGGATGGAGCGCCTTCAGGACAGAATATCGGCCAACTAGGAGTTGGATGCAGGGATCAAAGGCATTATGTAAATCCCTATGTTTCGCTTTGTTTCTGCACTTAAAGTGGAGCCCGGGAGCAATATTCTACGGACCGTAGCATGCACAACTCCTTGGTGACTCATTGGTTGGTAGCCCCAAATGTGTGTGCTAAAAGTTCTTCTGAAAAGACAGTGTACTATAACAGCTCTAAAAGAGACAGGCTTTTTTTCCCCCCTTTTTTTTGTTTTTGTTTTGTTTTTAATTAACACCACCAAACCTGTTTAGTACAATCATTTAAACCGGTGCCAAAAATAATCTTATGTACAAAATATATATTCGTTATGAAATATAATCAATAAATATCAACAGTGAAAAAATTAATATAATTTACCATTTCCAAGTACAAAAATTTGATTTTTAAAGACGTGCTACCATCTTACATCAAAAAGAACTTTGTCTGAAACTTACCAACCGGTGAAATATTGATCACATACACCCAAACCGCCCATACGTGAGCGAGAGGTTCCCCAATTACAAAAAGAAAAAAAGTAACCCTCTCTAAACACTCAGAGTTCCTAGCGCACCCTACGTGCTCCGGCTCTAGCAGGAGCCCTGGAAAGTGCATATCCATTGGGTTGATCCCCATTAAGTTTTAAGGCAAAGCGGGAAAAGCTGCTTTCAGAGAGTCACTTCAAAGATCGTTCTCCTCTCCTGGGGCCTGGAGGCAGCGCGTGTCCAAAGAGGCTCATGGTTTGACCATCCGTGCATCGTTTTTGTGTTTGCAGCTGCAAACAAGTCAAGGGAAAGAAAGAGCGAAGGGGGGAAAGTCCCCAAAACACAGTCCTGGCCTCAGACAAACTCTGGGAAGGCATGAGGGCTGTGCCTGAGGCAGGCCGGGGCGTCCGCAGCCTGGTAAGAGCGCCCTTCCTCCAGGGAGTCAGTGGGGCTCAGGCTGCCAGTCTGGGAGACTGGAGAGTACAGCGAGTCCCATTCACAAGGCGAGATGCTGCCGGGACTGGTCAGCTCCAGCAGGCAGGCGGTGGTAGGGGGCTGCCGGAAAGGCTCCCTGGCCAGCTCCTGCTGCCCCACACTCAGGAGGCTGTGGTCGGCCATCCGCAGGGTTTCGGTCAGTGCCCAGATGTAGTTATGGGCAAACCTAAGCGTCTCAATCTTGGTGAGCTTGGCGTCGTCGGGGAAGGTGGGGAGGACGCTGCGAAGAGCATCCAGGGCGGAGTTGAGGTTGTGCATGCGGTTCCTCTCCCTGTCGTTGGCTTTCATCCTGCGGTTCCTCTTCTGCTTCGTCAGCACCACTTCGCTTTTGGCTTTTGTGCGTCCCCTTCTGGCCTTCTGTTTCTTCTGCGGGCACTCCGGAGAGGGCCCCTCGTCTGCAGGGCAGCCTCCTGCCTGCAGCCGAGTCAGGGAAGGGTTGGGAGAGGAAGGCAGGCTGCCAGTGCCAAGGGAGGAAGCGGAGCCTTCATCGTCAGACACACCGTAGTACTGCTCTCCCTCACTGTTCACCTGTGCACCAGGAGAGCAATCGGTCTTGGGAGACATCCTGCAGGGAAACCCAACGCACAGGGAATCGTCAGTTTCCATTCAGCTCCATGCACGCTACACAACAAAATCGGTTCACACGGACACTCTGGGGACTGATCCTGTGTATAATTCAGGGCAACAAGGCAGCTGTCCCCTGGGACTCCTGGATCTGCAGGCTATGGGCGGGGAGGGGGGAGAGCCCAGGTACTCGTAAAATACAGATTTCTAGATCCGAGTGGGCAATAACTCCCCGCTGCTATTGGCAGAGAGGGTGAAGGGGGCACTTACCTGGATCCCCTGGGGGTGAAGCTGGCGCTGAGGGAGTAGCACTGTTGCAAGAACCCAGCCAAATTGGTTCCCTTGTCTTCTGACCCCTTGGGGATGCGGAGCAGCCTCCTCTCAAGTGCAGCAGAGTGAAGGCTTTGCGTCAGGCACACGACCGCCTTTGAGCTCCTATATATACCGGCCTGAGACAATGGGGATTTCCTGATCAATACAGCGTGTGCCCCCTTGGCACGCTTTATCTTATCAGCCCGGTTTGGAGTGTGCCTGGCTCATTCCTGCCCGCCACTGACCAATCAGAGAGGCGGCTTGGGGCCGAGCCACGCGAGCCCCTCACTACTCCTCGCACAGCTGGAATCCCAACAAAGGCCAGCGTGGGGAGGAGGAGCAGAAAGAAGAGGGCAGGCTACAGCCCCATTCTCCCTCGGCGATAGTCCTGAAAGGATCGTTTTAGCAGCTTTCGGGTCACCAGAGAACACGCCCTTCAGCTGAGAAACTTTCCTTTGCAACTAGTTTTTTCTGCATCACTCCGCTCTGGCAGGACACGGCTGGTGCTCACCCTACACAGGATCGGTGCTCATTTAGCCCCTGAACTCAGTTGCTTCTCCTCGTCTTTAAGCCAGTTGCTATTTCACTATAACTGATTAACTGGCTTGCCCATACGAGGTGCTGCCCGCACCTGCTCCAGCCAGGAGAGATGATCCAAAGTAAATAACCCAACTAGCTACGCCAACTTCGCACAAGGTTACAGGTTATTCATTTCTTCCATTCTGGGGGTGGGGGGAAAGGGGTCCCCTTAGCCCTGCGGTCAAGCAAAATCCCTAGCAGTTCCCATGCACCCTAGTTCAGATTTCCGATTCCCTCTAGGCATCACCAACAATAAACCACTCCCAACAGTCTTTCAAAGCTACACAAGAATGGCGCAAAATTCTTAAACACGCCTGATCCCTTGTTTTCAGATTTGGCAAGGGCAAAGCAGCTCTTGTTGGGCTCAACGCCTACCGAGAATTGGGCATCTGAATATCTGATCTGGTGTAGCCCAGTAACTACGAGGTTGGGGGGAAAGAAATGGTGGGACGAACAACACACAACATCACTTCTTTTCTTTAATAAATCACTTCGGAACGTACTTTAAATGGTACAATTAGATGATCTCAGTGCCAACTTTTCTTTTTCCTGCAAGCCCACCTAATTTTAAGGATGGTGAAACATGATCTCAGAGATATTTAAGCAATAGCAGCCTTATACACACACATCCCCCAAATAAGAAGCAACTTCACAATTCGTTTTGGGAGCAGACAGAGACACTGGAGGTTTCCACAAATGAATACTTGAAACCCACTTTTTAAAATTTAGATTTATACAAGAAATTGAGTTTCCAGGAAGAAAAAATATGTTGAGAAAAATGACAAAGTTCTATGTATCTCTTCTTTGCCTTTGCCTTGCCCTGTCAATCCAGGTTGGTGGTTCTTGTTCTTCATCACCAAGCGTTCTTGACACCAACCTTCTTCATGCCCTATTTCAGTGCCTTGAACCTCCTTTTTCTAGGTCTGTCTCATGGTCTTTGTCCCCTGACTACAAGCTCTTGTATTCCCTGGCCAACATATACCACAGATAGGCATCTCCTATGACCCAGCCATCTCAGTTGATAGTCCTCAGCTTTTCTGTGATGGGGGAACCTGCATCATGCCTCATACTATTTAATTGCATAGCCTATCAGCTCTCATCTTGCCCAGCATCCACCGAGGCATTCTCATTTGGGCAGTGTGAAGTAGTTGTTGTTCTCTCTTCCTCATTGGCCAGCATTCTGACCCATACCTCATGGCTGGCCTAATCCTAATTTTATACACTTTGCTCTTTAGTTTAGTTGGCATATTCTTATCACAGAGAATCCCCATCAATTCCCTCCACTTGCACCAAGTGCACCACTTGCAGCTCCTAATATCCACATCCACATCATGGTTCAACACTGAATAGAGGTATTTAAATTGTTTAAATTTAAATTAAGTGCCTCTATGTATACATAGAATGAAGTGTAGGTGCCATATTAGCCAAATAAAACAAGGAGTCCTAACCCTGAGAAAATAGGCAATGAGCGACTTTAAAGGAAAATCATAGCTTGAAGCAGTAAGAATTCCTGCTGTTGCTCTTCTTGTACTGTCCAGGGAGCTTTGGGAAATATTTCTATAGATCAACTAACATTAAACTGCTTCAACTTAATTCTATGTGTGTAGGCTCAGACACTTTGGAGGACCCTTTCATCACTTGCATCCAGTACAGTCTTTTATATATCCTTTTTCTCTTTGGTGAATTCAGCACAAGGATCCTAAGAAGCCTACATGGGGCAGATGTAATGAACTGGGGTAATATGTTTAGCCTTGGCCAAGGTAAATAGAGTACTACTTAATAACTGCCTCAAGTTCACATCCCCGTGCCCATGAGACACTTGTCCCACTATGTAAGTTGACCTCCTAAAGCACATGCTCCCTTGGACCCCCTTTCCCCTCTCTCCACTGAACGAGAGGAAAGGACAGAAGCCACCTGTGAACTCCTTCACCATCACCTCCTCTATGCAGCAGAATGCAAAGCAGGAGGAGTCTCCCAGAGTGCGCTCGCCTACTCCCCATAAAGAAAAGCAAGATGGGGAGGCCTCTCCTAGGCCATTCCACACCCCCAAAGAAAGGCTCTGTGTCTATATCTAAGTGTTTATACAGGCCCCAAACTGTAGTATCTGAGCAGCTTGCCCAGCAATAATCAAGGAACCATCCTTCAGATTTGGTTCTGCCCTGCAGCACCCCTGCCCCCACTACTCTACAACCAGATACTTGGGGGAAGAGGGCAGTCTCACTAGGTAGGCCTGCTGCCCCTCTCATTCAAGGAGCATCTGAGAGGGAAGGCCTCTCTGGCCAGGCTCTCACTCCCCTCCCTTATAAGAGCAGAATGGTTTTCGTGCCAGGCTGTAATCCTGGTTTCCAAAATGGCCCAATTAACTTGGAAAAATATATGGATATATGATGTGAATAAGGAAAAAATAAGTCAACACCTGTATTTAGTTTGAATGAACCACTAGTTCAGTAGGTGGAGGAACACCACTAGATGGTGAGGGCTTAATCTTATAAATAGCTGAGAGCACAACAAAAGCTCTGGATTAGAACCTTATGCAGGCTTCTAAAAATTAGGCAGGAGACCAAAATAATAGAAAACAGACCGGATCCACGCAGTGGGGATGGAAACCAATGGCATTTAGCTATTAGCCCAGTAGTGGGACAATTTCGTTTTCTTTACATTGTAGGAGGCTGGTGTTCCAGCCTGTGCGTGAGGAAAAAAACATTCCTCATTAAGATGAGTATAAGGTTTTGCTCTCAAGACTCAGCTGTACTGAACAAAGAGCTATTAGGCCCTTTGGCCAACAAAGATAACTTGTTTGGCTTTTGGGGGAGCCCAGTGAAAAGGAGCTCTGCTGGGAAACTTGTTCCCCGCAAGCCGCCCGGAAGAAGTGGGGAGGCGCCCGATGAGCACAGCTAGATGCTTTCTTTCCCAAGGACGAAGTGGAGCTTTTCCCAGCACCCGCAGGGAATGGTTTGGAGCCTTGCTGCAGACCGAATCCCCGGGGAAAGCCGATGTCACCAATTTTGAGACCTAAACTCTTTCCCCCCCGGAAGAACTCGCTCAGAGCAAAGGATCAGGAGCAGTCACTTCGGTGCGCAAAACGTGCCAGGGGTTTTTGCGCAATAGCTATTCTGAGCAGCATGAATTGTCTCTGCGGGGGGCAAGTTTAGTTTCCCAGGGTTTCGATTTTAAAGGATATGACATTTCTAAATGTCCAGAAGCCACTCATCGACCAGAGGGGAGAAGAGACAAGAGTGCTTCTAAAGCACACACGGTATGGTTTGGAAGCCTTTAAAGGTTCACTTTCCTTCACCAAAACCACTCCTGACATCACTGGAGTTTGGTCGTGGGGATTCGGGCTGGGAGCTGTAACGGATATCTATGTGTAAAGCGGTGGTGCTGAAACAGCTCCTTCTCTAGGGCTGGAAACGTGTCCTCTGGCCCTTCACTGCTTGCCCACTTCAGCAGGGATCTTTGGGCTCCCCCCTCCCCAGCTTGGCACATGATGCCCCTTTGCGCACTGCAGTCTCCAGAAGCGCAGGAGAGAGGCAGGGTTAACGTGAGGCTCCCAAGGGCATGTGCATCTGGCGAGTGCCTGTGATTGCTTTAAAAAGGGAGGCTGCTTGGGGTTTGAAAGCCTTGTTCGTTCATTTTTCAGGGGGACTGGAAGGGGGGGCACTTTTCTTCCCTCTCGAATTTTGTGTGCCCTTTTAGATTTGCAACAAGGGAAAAATGAATAGCAAGGCCCTGGCAGATTTTTGTGCTTGTGCAAATGGTTGACAAAAATCTGGTGAGCGAGTTTCCAACCCTTAGACTGCCCACTTCAAACGTCCTTCAAACAAAAGCTGAAGAGGAAAAGAAAGCCCCACCTGGTACCACTGTTTGCTAAAATAATAATAAATAGATTTCGTTTAATAAATAATTACAAGAGATTGTAAAGTGGAGTGCTTTGGGAAACATTAATCATGGGGCTGGGGGCAGCCATCACCTGCTGGGAAACAAGGCAACTTTATTGTTAAATCACCTTCACACTGCCACTTTCTGATAACTCTCTCCTATTGCCACAATGACTGGTCGGTTCTGTTTACTCATAGTTAGCATAACAAGCACAATATTACCACAAACGTGATAAAAATCTAGGGGGGGACTGCATTAGGTTCCTACTCACACCTGTCTGGGCAACTTCAATACAGAGCTGGCATTAAATGGCCCTTCCAGGAGGGGCCCTTATGTCGTTTACATTGGACTATTTTATGCTACTTTATAACAGGTTTACTGCAATCCCTATCTCCCTGCCCTATTTGTCTTATTTTATTGAAAACATATGGTAACCAGTTGAGCTCCATCCCATCTTTCATCTGCCAGGCGTTGGGGATGTTTTGCAATCTGGGGCTTGCCTGCAGGCTGCTCTGACCAACTGGTGCTGTTTAATTTAAGGAAAGGAGTTGAGATAACACTTGGCCTGTTTTTGTCTCGCTCCCACACACAAACTTCAAATGTAAATACAATTTAATAAAATAAAATAAACGGTCTGCACAAGGGGCAGCCCCATGCGCTCTGGGAGCCTTTTTGGATAGGTGAGAGGGCCACCATATGCCATTTTACAGGCGAGCCCAAGGCGCACTGGGAGCACTTGGGAGGGGAAACACACAAGAAGGGAGACAAGCGATGGGGCTCCCAAAGTGGCCAGAGCCT